ATTATTCTATTTTAATTCTACTTTATCTATTTATCTTCTTTTTTTTTATTTAAAAAAAAAAAAAACTAGCAGCTTTCTATTTTTTCTATTCTATCTACTTTGTTTTTCTTTGTGTGTGTGTGTGTGTGTGTATAATTATAATTACATACCTTCTTACTATTTTGCATGTTATTATAAAGGAAAAACAACATTTTATATATATATATATTCTGTTTTTGGTGTATAGTAGTCAAAAATTAATTATTTTATATATGTTTTTATACATAATTTTTCCATTTTCCATCCTCTCTGATGATTTCAATTAAACAGTACAGTATTTGTTGGACATTCATATGCAAATGAGCTTTCTTATGATTGGCTGACCTCTTTACATGCGTAAAGCCCCTTTGACTCACTCATTTATTTACCAAATTAGTCAATATTCTGGATAACAGGTGGAACACTAGTCTGCCAGAATGAAGACTTGTGAACAGTGACTCACTTGTTCCAGTGGGTTTTGGAGTTTCGGTACAGCGAGGGGAACATGATGGGCAGGATCCTCGCCGCGTTATCGCTGATTAAACTCATGATGTACTCGTTATTCCAGTAGTAGAGAGCTCGCTCCGCAACCTGAGGACGACACGAATGTAATAACAGTTAGATGGGGATTGTTTCATGAACGCATGCTGCTTTCTGTGGGTCCAGCAGACCTGAAAGTGTGGACTGGAGACGCATTTGGCCAGCTGTCTGAATAAGGGCTCCATGACTTTAACAAACTCTGACGGCTCGATGACGTCCAGAATCTCTTCCAGCTCGTTCAGAAACATCACCTCCTTTGGACTGTGAGTCTTTGGCCAGTATTTCAGAAGAGCCATCACCACCTGAAACCAACAAAACACTCCTCAGCAACTACACTCGCGCTCTGAAGCCTGGAATAATTCAGATTTGTAATGTTTTATAAGTCTCTTCTGCTCACAGAGGCTGCGTTTATTTGATTCAAAAATACAGTAAAAATTGTGAAATAGTTTTGTAATGTAAAACAGGTGTTTTCTATGTGAATATCTGTTAAACTGTAATTTATTTCTGTGATCAAAGCTGTATTTCCAGCATCAATTTCACAATTTTTACTGTATTTTTGAATCAAATAAATGCAGCCTCGGTGAGCAGAAGAGACTTTTTTCAAAATGATTTGACTGGTAGTGTGTAAAATATGAAGTGATCCCTGCTGAAAAGGCCTGGTTAAATATGCTGGTAAAAGCTAGTTCAAGAGTAGAAGACAAAAACAGCTTTATGAGAGGAGACGAGAAACGAAAGAAAGAAAACGAACAGAAGCTGCTGCTGAAACCCACCGGCTCAGTAAGTGTGCTGTCCTTCTCTAGAAACTGAACCACACAGTAAGCCAGCTGAAGAACCAGAAACAACAGCAGTCAGTCATCAGAGTCAAAGCCTGCTGCACTTACAAACTAAAAGAGGAGCAAGAAATTATATTGTGGGTGAAAAAA